CTGCTAACACCGCCCTGGCGCGAGGCGGGCTGCGCTGGGGATGCGGGAGGGGACGGTGCGGGATGGCTGCAATGGAGCCTCACCCAGGCTGCCTTGCAAGAGGTTCTCTACCACAGCCCAAACACGTTCATTTTTAGCACCTACTGTATGTGTTTATGAGTCTAAACCCAACTCATGGCACAACCCCCGCTCCAGCATCACTCCATGCTCCCCCAGAGCCTTCTGCTGTGCCCCCACTGCAGACCATAAAGCCACAGCTGTCGTAGCAGCACCTTCGTGGAAACAACCCTCTCTTGTGCTCTGGGCAGCGCTGGGGACATGCATGTCCACTGCAAGCAGACACACTCAGCAGCTATCGCAGCCTGCAAACGCCCGGAGCAGAGCCTGTCCGTAAGCAACCTCCTGTGCTGGGATGCGCAGCCCGGAGCAACTGGTAAATCAGCTGCCGGCACCCGCTGTGGTGCCAAGAGCTGGAGGAGCCTCTTCTCCTCCCACAGAGTGGTCTGTAGGGTAAACACCCACACGTCCAGGCTCCCAGCCAGCTCAAGGCACGCTGGGGAGCGCCCAGCGCATGACCAAACGCAAACGAGCAGGAGATCACCCCAGACCCGAGTTTCAGCTTCTCCAGCATACAGGGCTGTTCCCACACACTGCACAAGCAGCATTTCCCTCTGCAAGGGGTATTGATGGGAAGAGGATGGGAAATACCGGCAACCCGGCCCTTCCAGATCCTGCTGCTTCGTCTCTTGGTTGCAACATGTCTCCGGCTCAGCTCTGCCAGCGACAGCCCTGTGCTTTAGGGTGCCAGTGGCTCCCTGAGGCGATAGCAGAGGTACCTGTGCCTGCTGGCGGACAGGACAGAACAGGGATAGTACAGTCAGCTAACACTGCAGAGAACAGGATGCTCATCACACCCACCACCAGGGTGGCCCGGGCTGAGGGTGGCTCTACTGGCCCTTTTCCTGGCATCTGCTGCCACTGAAGTGCCATGCACCTCACAGCTCTCTGCCCCATCTCACAGACCCACTGCACCCTGGAATAATGGGGGATGCTGCATCTCCAGGGGTATCCCACTGACCTTCTCTGTAGCCCAGGCAGCCAAGCCTCAGAGAAAAAGAGTGATACTACCCCAGTTCAGTGTTGGAACCAGCAACAGAGTGCTAGCTCATGGAGCAGGGGACCAGCCCCACCTACAGCACAGTTATAGCTGCGCCTCTCAGCTGCCCTGGGGCTCAGTTCTCAGCCATGGAGAGTTGAAACCCAGCAAGAAAGCTGTTGGGGCAGGACCAGCTGGGGCATCACAAGGAAAACCACTGCCTGGCCACACTCAGCAGGGTAGCTCCACATCCTGCTCCTCCATCCCTGAAAAAGCAACTCCAACCTGACCTCTGAAACCAGAGCATCCTCTGGGAGCCACCGGCCCGTCCCAGCCGCCTGGCTGGATGCAGGCAGCCAAACCCCAGCCCAGTGGGGCTGCACCTAAGCCAGACCCCGCAGCAAGCAGCCCAAACTTCTTGCTGGGCGCAGCAAGCTGGTTCGGGAGAGTACGGCAGCATGAGTGCATGGCCATGGTGCTCATGCATGGTGACTTCCCCGTTGAGCCATGCTATGGCTACGTTTCTCTGCTGCATGGCTCAGCCAGGGTCAGGGTTCCCTGGTGCTGCCAAAGCAGGGAGGGATCCATCCCCAGCCATGTCAGCACGCAGAGCCCTGAAACGCAGCAGAGAGGAGGAATGCTCAGAGCCAACTACCTCCTCCAACAACCCCAGAGCCATCACCTGGGTTGGGGCATCATTTGGCTCCCTGGGTACCGGCACATCCACCACTCCATGGGAGAGCAATGGGCTCCACACCCTTACATGCGTCTCCAGCATGGGGAGCTCACATATGTACACAGACACACAACAACTAAAATTTTCCCTCCGCCCTGCGCAAAACAAGGCAGCCCTCACACCAGGAGCCCCACGCTTCACTCCCCGTGCACAGAGAGCCTCCTGCCCCCCCGCCACCCCTGAGTACCCCCCAGCCCGGCTGTGCCCGAGCTCACCTGCTCTTAGACAGCCCTGTTTGTTTGCCCAAGGTATTTGCAGCCGGGGGCACCTGCTTTGATACCATCAGCTCCACGAAGGAAGCTGCTCACCTAGCGTGACCTCTGTAATCCCATCCTTCCCCATTAAGCGCTGTGTGTGAGCGCATCCCCCCTCCCAGCCTCCTGCCATCTCAGCATTTATCTCCCTCTCCCCAACCTGAGCACATTGCTGGAGAGTGGGGAGCAGACCTCTCCAAGTCACTTAGAAAGGGACCTGGCAGTGCCAACACCCCCTAGCCCCTCCATTGTCCCCTCTGGGACTGGGGTGTTCCCCCTCCCCTGGCATCGCCCTGCAGCGGTGCTGGGGACCAGGCAGCACTCACGGCAAGGCTCTGGGATGGGTTGGTCCCGCAGTGGTGTGGACAAGCTTGGTGTCCTCAAGCCTCCTGCCACCAGCATCGTGTCCCCCATGGTGCCACCTTTGCCCCCTGGCAGGACTGTCCCTCCTGCCACAGCCCCTTGTCCCAGCTACCTAGACAACTCTAAGGGAACCAGCACCCCCAGCTGGGCTCTGAGCCAGCCACCTCCCCCAGCCCACCCTTCCAGGAGCACCTTGTTAAAAATGATCTACTGGCTCTTATCTCCCCCAAACCAAGCTGGTCCTTTGCGGAGAGCAAGCAGGACCAAGACCTGGCAGATAAATTAGCCCTGACCCCTTCCACGTGCACGCGGGCAGTGAGATGTGTGCCATCCTGGCACTGGCACAGCCGCGGCTCCTGAACTCCCCTCCTGCACCACCAGCACAGGGCACTGGTGCGCTGTGCCCCACCAGTACCTCTCAAACACACATCCTACCCTAGGGGAGGATGCTCCCGCATCTCTTCACTCAGCGAGGCTGCCGAATTGCCCAGCTTCCCACAAACTTCCCCAGGGCAGTGAGATTTGCTGGGAGATCTCACAGTGCTTGTGGCCATGGGCACAGACCGCCAGCCCCGGGCACTCTATTGCCCCGGGGTGGCAGGAGGAACGATAATTCCCAGCGGACATGACCTCTCCCAGCTAGCACCAATCCTCCAGGACCCGCAGCAGGAGCAGAGTGCTGGGTGCCCTTTACATCCCAGGGGTTGCCCAGAGCCGGAGCGTGTGGCCATGCCCTGGTGCGACCCCCCCCAGCGGGGCGGCCAGGTGCGGGCAACCGGGCGGGGAGAGGAGACCAAAGAAGCCAGGAGTTTCGCGCTGGGACCCGCCATCCCCGCCACCGGCCCCAGACCTCGGGTCCCCCGGCAGGTACCGGGGTAACCCCGCTGTCTCTCCCAGCCCCCCGGCATCCTCCCCCCGCACCGCTGCTGCGGGGTGCATCGCCCCCAGACCGGCTCTGCTCCAGCCTCTGGTGCCTCCCCGGTAGTCACGGTCCCCAGGCAAATAGCCCTGTGCCACGGGGTTGGGACACCAACAGACCTTTCCCCTTTGCTGCAAGGGGCATCAAAGCCTCCCTCCCTCCCTGCTCGTGATGGGCTGTTGGAGGCCGGAAAGAAACGGAGGGGCTGTGGGATGCAGAGGGGAGTTGCACGGATCCCGGCAACCCACCACCAGCCTAGGACGGAGCCTGAGCTGAGGATCCGCCCTGGAGGATTTCCTACCCGAGTTCATGCAACCGAAATACTCACTGTCCCAGGACACCAACAGGGCCAGCAGGGCAGAACATGGTGCTTCTCAGGGACAACAGCCAGTGCCACAAACAAGGAGGGCTGGGACAGTCACTAACCAGGGATGCAAGATAAGATGCAGGGAAACCGCCGCAGAAGTCCTTAAGGCAGAATCTCACCCCTGGGGTGAAAAGTGCCACCTGACTGAAGCACAAGAAAGGATGAACCCCTCTCCAGGTACCCAGACACAGCGGGGAATGTGACTCCCCAGCAAAGGTCAGAGCTCAAACCTCCACTGCACACTGCAGGCACCGGTGTTTCACCCCTCCGCAGGGAGGCTGCTGCAGGACACAAGCGAGGACCTTGTTGTGACAGTGCCCAGCAAAGTGGCTCAAATCAGGAGCGTGTTGCTAACGGCACCAGGAGGGTGTTGCTAACGGGTGGGTTACCTTTGGGAGCACTTGGGGAACTGGGTCCCTACCCAGTACCACCCCCAGTGACTCTGCCCCTTCCCTTGGTACCCTGGGTGCAGCGCTGAGCTGACTGAGGGGGCAGAAGTGCATAGACCCCACAAAGGAGAGGAGCCCCTGGGTCCTTCCTGGGAGCTCCGCAGCATCTCCGAGGGAAGCAAACATCAGGGACTGGACAGAGGAGCATCTCCCACTGCAGTGCACATGGGAGGAACGTGTCAGCCAGCAGTGACCCCCCTCCAGACCCGATGCCTGAGAGACCTTTATTCAGAGTGTAAAAACAGTTCTTTACAAAGCAGATTGACCTAGAACCTCCTCCCAAAATCACAAATAGGCTGTAAGCTCCCACCCCACCATAACTGCAGTTGAGGACACAGCCTGGGCCCATTTCACACTTCCAAGTGTATAAAAACCATCTGTCCTGGTTTCGGCTGGGATAGTTAACCTTCTCACTAACAGCTGGTACAGTGCTGTGTGTTGGATTTAGGATAAGAATAATGTTGATAACACACTACCAACCACCTGATGTCATGCTCAGCATATAAAGCTGGGGAAAGAAGGAGGAAAGGGGGGATGTTCGAAATTACAGTGTTCGTCTTCCCAAGTGACCGCTACGCGTGATGGAGCCCGGCTTTCCTGGAGATGGCTGAACACCTGCCTGCCCATGGGAAGCAGTGAATGAATATGTTGGTTTTACCTTGTTTGTGTGAGTGCCTTTCGCTTTGCTTATTAAACTGTCTTTATCTCAACCCACGAGTTTTCTCACTTTTACTCTTCTGATTCTCTTCCCCATCCCACCAGGGGGGAGTGAGCGGCTGCGTGGTGCATAGCTGCCAGCTGGGGTGAAACCACGACACCATCAAATTGTGAGTTAAGAAAAGCAAACACACTAGAATCAATGGAAGTGCCTGTCCCACCACTGGCTTTACGTCCATCTGCTGGGGAAAGGGCCAGGACCGGGTGTTTCAGAGCTAGGGAGAGGGGGTGCACAGAGCAGAGGTTCAGGACAGCAAAAAGGCACAGGGCAAGGATCACCTCCTCCATCCCTGACACCCAACACAGGGATGGGGGAGACAGAATAGACCAGCAGCATCGATCCAGTTTTGGGATCAACCTCCCACAGCTGTGGGAAAGGAGACACCCAGGTGCTGGGAGCAGCTCCTGCTCCCCAAAAAGTTACAACAGAAAAAAAATAACAAAAAGAAAACCCCAAACAAACAAATACAAAATCCCAAAGCAGCAAATGTTGAGATCCTGGCAAGAGGTGTCCGAGGTAAAAGCCATCCGGGCAGAGAATACCAGCGAGTACCTGGAAGAAGAACCAGAGTGAGACCAGCAGCCTCCTGCAGCAGGGCGGCTTCCACCCACACATGCCACACTGATGTCACGGCCACTCAGACCCTTCCTCCGAGGCTGCCTGGCCCCTCACCTTGCCTGGAGATAAGTTACTGCTTCCTCTTCTACTTCTTGGCTGGCATGATAGGAGCAAGCTCCTCCTCCTCCTCCTCAGACAAGTCATCGTCCTCCTCAAAGGAAGCATCTTCCCTGTGCACTGGGACACACAGATAACTCTGTTACTCACCAACGGCTGTCTTTGCAAATACAACTGTCCCCCAAGACACCCCAAGAGCGGAGCAGCCCACTGGAGCAGTTTAAACAGCAGCTTGTGGTCAACAAGCTGTATCCCAGCTCAAGGGGAGTTCCCAGAGGGGAATAGTGACAGCCAGCCCTGGGAAAAGGGGACAGCGTGGGTCATCCAGACCCCTTTTCCCACGCAAGGCTTTACTGCATGGAGAGGGCCCCTGGGCAACCAGCACAAAGGGGGCACTGGGCACACATGCTGAGAAGCACCATCTCCCAGGGGCTCCCCGGCCGGTGTTTGCGCTGGAGGGAGCCCTTCCATACCCCTCGCTCCTCCCAAACTTTTCCCTGCACGAGTCCTTACTGATGCGGTGCCAGCCAGCGAGGTGTACCGGGCCAGAGCCCGCTGCCAGGCGGAAGGTGACCGGAGGCTGCAGCTTGAAGTTGTCCAGACTCAGCTGTAAAGAGACAGAGATGGAGCTGAGTTGGGGTGTGCTGGTTTTGGCTGGGGTAGGGTTGATTTTCTTCATAGTAACCGGTATGGGGCGATGTTTTGGATTTGTATCGGAAACAGCGTTGATAACACAGGGAGGTTTTTGTTATTGCTGAGCAGTGCTTCCACACAGTCAGGGCCTTTTTTGCTCACGCCATCCCACCAGCGAGCAGGCTGGGAGGGGCACAAAAGGTTGGGAGGGGACACAGCTGGGACAGCTGACCCCAACTGACCAAAGGGATGTCCCATACCAAACAATGTCATGCTCAGCACATAAAGCTAGGGGAAGAAGAAGGAATTGTGGGGAAGTTTGGAGTTATGGTGTTTGTCTTTCCAAGTAACCATTACGCATGATGGAACCTGGCTTTCCTGGAGGTGGCTGAACACCTGTCTGCCCATGGGAAGCGGTGAATAAATTCCTTATTTTGCTTTTCTTGTGCACATGGCTTTTGCTTTACTTATTAAACTGTCTTTAGCTCAACCCATGAGTTTTCTCACATTTACTCTTCTGGTTCTTTCCCCCAGTTCCCCTCAGACATCCCCACCTGAGTCTTCAAAATAACCTCTTACCAAGGGCTGGCATGACAACTTCAGATTTGCCACAGGGACAGCGATCTCCTGGTTCTCGTGGTTTCGCCCAACGACCTCCACCACATTGCACTCGTCCTTGGCACCATCCGTGAGGCAAACCTGGATGGGAGTGGAGATTGTGAACTGCTGCTCTCCCAGGAGACACATCAGGGACAGCTGGGGCTCCCCATGGGACAGCAATGCTACCAGCCAAGCTGCCATGAGCTGAGGACACCACACACCAGGGAGAGCAGAGTTGTGTTGAGTTGTGTCCCGTCCCTTCCTGTCCCATCCTCCCTCCCAGCAATTGCCACCCGACCACCTCCAGAGGGGCTCTGTGCCTTTCCCACCTGGGACAGCTTTTCTCAGCCTCAAGAGATGGCACCTGACCTGTGTTTTCTGCTGATCTGATCCATGCTGGCAGGTCCTGTGCTCCCAGGACAGAAAGCGTCCCCCAGGGAGAGGCATGAATGAAGCCCTGCATCTACCAGGGCTTGGAGAGCAACAAGACAGAGGCCCAGCTGATGAAGGGGACCATGTTCTAGCAGGAGGCTCCAGCAAGGTCAAATACAAGGGAAAAATACTTTCCTTCACCCCATGTCTGAACTATTCCTCTGCTGAGCAGCCTCCTGATGCCACTGGCTTTGCTCAAGCACCTCCATAAACGTGACAGCCCTGTGCCCTGCCCTGAGAGCAGCCAGTGCCAAGACCTCAGCTAAGGGAGTCCCTTGGTCCAACACGGCCAGGGAAGGGGGAATGAGCCTGGGAAGGAGGCATGAGGCTGTGGGACACCATAGAAGAGGACAAGCACAGTTAATTCTCACTTCTCTTACCACAGACAGGGCCAAAATGTGGTCAGAGTCATCTTCCTCATCCACCTGAAACGTGTAGGATTTGGTATTGGCAGTCAGCTCACAGCCTGGAAAGAGGAGATGGGAAAAGCTGAAGCAGCCGTTACATGGCCCTAAGTGCCATGGGCAAAGGGTTCCCAGGGCGACCCCCGGCTGGGCAACCACACGGCATCCCTAAAACACTTTATTTTCTCATGCTCAGGAGCAACCTCAGGCCAGGGCGCCCTGGGCTCCAGGATAAAGTGTCCCCAAGAACTACACACCCAGCTCAGCAACATACAGGGACAAAACCTGGTGTCCCCCAAACCAGGCTGCCACAAAGCAGTGCCCAGGGACACCCAAGGCCAATTAGGACAGGCGGGGCAAGGCTCAACCCCTCCAGAGAGCTGCGCAGCCGGGGCACACTGCTCGGGACAGCAGGAGAGGGAGCAGAGATAGAGGCAGCTCCGCTCCCCCCAGTGTCAGCAGAACATTTGCTCTGGCGAGAGGCTGGAGGCAGAGACACGGAGCGTGAGACCTGAGTGATGAAGAACAACCCGAGGGGAGGATGCTGGGCCAGGGAGCCGGAGTCCCTCAAGGCAAGTCTTAAGACAGATTTTATTACATATTTATGAGTACCTCCCAAAAACGCAAAAAAAAAAAAAAAAAAAAAAAAAAAAAAACCACAAAACAAACAAGGGAGATGCAAAATTATGTCCTTGGTTCTTCGGCTCAGGATTCAGCCGAGCATGGGAGGAAGGAGAGGCAGAGTGCCCCGGGTGTGTTTGGTTATTGCTGGCTGATTCACCAATGTGAAGCGGATCGGAAAAACGCAGGGCTGAGCCTTACATACCAGACCCGGCGTTTGCCACGGGGAGAGGGAGGAACCGGCCCCAGCAAACACAGCCCAGGGCAGGACCTCTTCCCGACCGTGCTTATGTATTCAGCTCAGCAGGGGAAGGACCGAAATCCAGGTGCATAAAGGGCCTGGGGGGGTGGGGGAGAGGCTGCTGCTCCGCTCCCCCTTTGGGCTTCGGGCCGGGAGCAGCCCGGGACGGCTGTGCCCACGCCCGCTCGCACACACGTTTAGCGGCAGCGCCGGGCCACGTGTGGCGGGGGTTTAACAGCCCCAGCCCGGGGAGGAGGGACACGGCTCTGCCGCCCCACGGAGGGCACCCACGGAAGGCTGACGTGGGAGCGCGGGGGATTAACCGGAGGTGCAGGGAAGACACACACACCGCCCCACGCACCCCCCAATTACTCCCGGCCCTTTGCACCTACCAGAACCCCCACGACCCCACGCGGCTCCCCCC